CCCGGGGGCTGCGGTCAGCCCCGGGCGCGGGTGGCCGGTCTGGCGGGACGGGTGAGAGCGCCGGAGCCATCGGCCCGTCGTGGTGGGACCGGTCCTGACTGTTTTCCATGAGGATCCCGGGAAAACAGGCGTGATCCTTGATCCTCCCCAGCAACCAGGGCAGCTCCTGGGGCAGCACCGCCTTTAGCTCTCAACTCTTCCTCCCTCTGCGTTTGCAGGTGACACCCTGATCGTCGAAGAGGACACGTCTACACCCAAGACAGACTCACCCGTGGTGGCCAAAAGAACCATGTCCAGCTCGGTGAGGGAAGCTGTGCCGGTGCTGGTGAGGAGGGTGGTTCCAGCAGACAACTCCTGTCTCTTCACCAGCGTGTACTACGTGGTGGAGGGGGGTGTTTATGACCCAGGCTGTGCCCCGGAGATGCGCAGCCTCATAGCCCAGATCGTAGCGAGCGATCCCGAGTCCTACTGTGAGGCAGTTCTAGGGAAAACCAACAGGGAATACTGTGACTGGATCAGGAAAGAGGAGACTTGGGGAGGAGCCATCGAAGTGTCCATTTTATCCAAGTTCTACCAGTGTGAGATCTGCGTGGTGGACACGCAGACCGTGAGGATCGACCGCTTCGGGGAGGACGCTGGTTACACCAAGAGGGTCCTCCTCATTTACGACGGGATTCATTACGATCCCTTGGAGCGTAAAATCCCCGACTCGGACGTTCCTCCCCAGACCATTTTCTCCACAGCTGACGACGTGGTCCTCGCCCAAGCCCTGGAGCTGGCGGACGAGGCCCGGCGCAAGCGGCAGTTCACCGACGTGAACCGCTTCACGCTGCGCTGCATGGTGTGCCAGAAGGGACTGACGGGGCAGGGCCAGGCCAGGGAGCACGCCAAGGAGACTGGACACACCAACTTCGGAGAGGTTTGACACCTGCAATGAGGATGGTTGCGTCGACTACCTCACCCGTCCAGAATACGATTCTGGAATTCCAGATAAGCTGTATGTAATCATCAAAATTCCGTTCACCGAGCTTGAGAAGCGTTATTAATTAACCTAACAGCGGCCGAGGCGCACAGGTTTGTCATGGGTTGGGAGCAGGTTACCTTCTCGCATGCGGATCTCTAGTCCCTTTGGCAGGTGGAATACACTGGGCAGCTGAAACTTGACTTCTGAAATCATCTTCTCTTTCTTGACCTGAGCTGACAGACAAAACCAGGCTTGTTTCACACTAGCATGAAATCTGGCCTCCGAGTTGCTGAATTAATCTCTCTCTCTTATGTTTTCAGGGTAATTAATCTAAGGGTCTGGGAAACACATGTATTAGCATTGCTTATACTAAAAATTAGTCTCTGCACATACAGGCAGTTGTTACAGGGGAAACTGCTAATTGGGTGCACAGTTTGTAATGGAAAGAGAATTTCCAAAGCTGCCCTGTGCTGTGGCAGGAATAGACTGTATTGTTTGTGTGAAGTCATGGCTTTAGAGAAAGAAATGGCCTCTCAGCTTTAAGGTGGCCCTCTTTCAATTAATGAGTAGATGGTTAAGTGTTGAATAAACTTACTAATCCTCCATAGGTAGTTTTTAGTTGCTTGAGAAATAACTATCAACCCCCTGGTGTTTACACTGCATCAGAAGGTAGGCATGTTTCTTGAAATGCTTTGGATTCTTCTTCATAGTAGGATCTGAAATTACGCAAGAGGGAAATACATTAGGTAGGGAAGTGACTTCATTTGCATACGTTAAATACATTTAAGCCGACTTTACTTGGGCATAGCCCATCTCATGGCCACAGTGTTACTAAGATTCCAAATACTGTATATTAGCACTTTAAGGTGTAGTTCTCATTATTTGCCCAAAAAAAGTGTTGCCCTTTGTAGGACAGAGTGCTAACCCAGAAGGGAGGCTGGAAGTTTCTTCATCTGCATTTCTGCCTTAACGGGTTTGATTTGTCACCAGTGACTGTTCAGTAGCAAGACTTTAATTCTGATAATGAAGGGTGCAGTTTAATTTTCAGAACAAAATAAGCTGCATGAGCTGCCCTACTTCTCGTGCTGTTCAGATTCAGGGAAGTTGAAATGGGTTTAATAGCTCTTACCTCACAGCAGGGTCGTAAGGCTTAACAGCAAGTGCTTTTGAGGTCTTTTAAAAGGTGCTGTAAAGGTGCATATTACTGAAGGGGATTTTTTTTTTTCTTTTTCTTGGAAATGCCTGAATTTTAAAAAAATGTTCTTGCCTGCTATTCTTCTGTTACTGTTTTGAGTTACCTTCCTTGCACTTTTACAAATGGGAAGCAAGAACCTGCATCTTCAGGCTGAGGCAGAAATCAACCCGCTTTCCAAGTGGAGCCTGAGATGTAAAAGCCTCCGTTTGTTAAGGCATCTGATGAAAATCCTGGAGCAGCCACAACTTCTCTAAAGAGCACGTTTCACTGAAGTTCTCAGAAGAGGCTCCCAGTTGGGCCATGAAATACAGGAGGGTCTTCTTAGAGAAGGAAGATAATTACATAAGTGCTTTGCTGAATTGTGGCATGAATAATTAAATATGAAGAATAGAATCACCAAGAGCACTATGGACCAGGTTTCTTATTAATTCAGTATTAAAATACAGATTAGCACTGTTGGGAGTTTCCCATAGAAAGCCACTTAGCTTCCAGTGTTAAACCCCACTTTGCTTTTAGCTTGTCATTAGGAAAAAAACAACCCCAAACAAAACCCAACATTAAACCAGCCCTCTAGAAGCTGATGCTTATAAACCTAAAGAAAGAACCTTAGAGTTCAAAGGAACTTGAAGATTACACTGTGTTCTAACTACTTGAGGTGAAATACTGTCTCGGGATGAGACCAAGGCACTGTCCATCCATAGGTGTGTTCTCAGCTTCCCCACTGGAGCAGGGAGCTGCCCTGACAAGGAGCTGATCCTCACCAGTTGCCATCTGCAGAACATCATACCTACCTCAGAGGGGTGCACGAGGTGACTGTCTTTGGGTGTCTTAGGAACAGAAGTGAAAGATACATATTTATTGTCTGCCATGTTTGCAAGTGTTTTAATTGACTTTGGGGAGCAACACTTAGGTTTTAGCTTTGTATCCTGAATGGATTTCTTAAAGCGTGTTAAGATATTAATTTTATTTTTTTTTTTGCTATTTCTCAGTTGCAGTATCTTTAAAATTAGCTTTATTTAATCTGGAGTGCTTAGCTTTGCTATTTCATGTTTGCATTGGGAATCTGCTAAGAGAGAAACAGTTTCATTTGAGGGAAGTGAGTCAATAATCACTGCTTGGATGTTTTCTTTTGTTGCCTAGAAAATAAAAATCTCTTTGGCTAAAAACCTGAACTGAACTGTTGTAATTAATCTTTGTAAAAGCTGATACTGTTACACACTTGGTCCCTGGCACCAAAACTCTTTGATAAGAGAAGCTAAAAAATTTCACCTTACTACTCTGAAAATTATAACTCTTGATCACACTCATTAAATGTCTGCCTGCGTTTTAAATCAGACTATGCATCCATACTCCAGACTGGGCAGAATAAAATGACTTCAAATTGGCTGAAACAGGTATTGCTTTGAGTCTGAGCAGCAGCTGCTTTCTGTAACAGAAGAACACAACACAGGAGGTAACAAAATTAAGTTGTCCAAGATAGGAGTGTCCTTGTCTATCATTTTAATTAAAGCCTTGGGTAAAATGTTGGGGAACTGTGTTATACCTTGAGATCTGAGCCCTCATGGCTGATGGAGGGTTAATGCTCACCAGGCTGTGGACACAGATCACCTCTGTTCTCTACCTCTTTTCTGTAACACAGGGATCATAAATAGGGTTCCTTGCTCAGTTCACAGCCATATTAAGATGCAATTAGTTCTCTGGAAGTGCTGAGTAATACTAACCATTAACTACCTAGTATTTTCCATCGCTGATTTGACAGCAAACAGGCTGAACATACAATTTGGACTGAGCAAAGTGTCCAGCCAACCTGGAGAGTCAAACAAACATCCTTACGTCAAAGGGCCCTCACTGGTGACGCCGCGTGGCTACATTTCCTCCAGGCCCAGGACTGAATCATTTTTCTTTTGTTTATGAACAGGGTGAGGCATGACAGGTCTGTTAACATGCCAAAGTCCTCTCACAGCTCTGTGTAGTTTTCTCTACATCATTTGACTACTTGCATATACTTCATGCCGTGTATATGAAATCACTCTTTGTTTTGGGTTGGAGCTATTTATATCCATTGGAGGAAGAGGAATGTGGAAAAAGAACAGGTTGTTTCTGGGCATCTGATTCAGAGAAGCTCAAGACTTCTCTTAATGGATTGTGGCAATTTCCTGACCTGCAGAGAGCCCTGCAGGCAGTGAGCTCTCCCTGTTTTATTGCACAGATACCAGTCCTGCTATCAGCACAGTGCTCTCGGGACACAGACACCTTGTCCTGTGGCTCATTCATGCTGTTTGCAATAAGAAAATAGCTCTGGATTTGATTTGCTCCCTCTCTTAAAGCAGGCTAAGTGCAGCTAGATAGACTGAGAGTTTAAATCCCTGCACCACCCAGCCCCACACCAGCCCCCGCAATCACCTGGGCTGTGGCCACGTCCCTCACCTCTGGTGCAGGCCAGGCTGGGCAGTGGGGCTGGCAGGGGCTCCTGGGAGCCCCACACTGCAGAGTTGTTCCTCAGGCAGATGTTCCTTTCCAGTGCAGAGCTCAGATCAGCAGTACTGGGGGAACCTCTGTGCTTCCTGGCTCATCTGCTTCCTCTCCATCCTGCCACGGCGTTAAGTAACTGGTGTTTCCACTTCCCTGTTCTGAGCAGCAGGGAACACATGTTGCAACACGGCCTTTTTCTAAAGAAAAAACGCAACCAAAAATAAAATCACTGAAGCAGGAAAACGTGAGTCTGGTGGCTCTAACAGTTCTGAACTTCTCTGCAGTTTGGCAGTGAGGAGCACCTTGCAGAGCTGACACAAGTCAATGCTGGGGGGTCAGGGGGAGCCATGGCCTAAGTATTGGTTGTCAGAGTGAAAAGCTGTAATTTTAACAAGAGAGCCCAAAGTTGGGGTGATAACAAGACACTGCAGCTCTTTCAGCTGCTTTTGCAACATATCCTGGGCAGGCTGGGCACTGGGCCTCAACATCACCCAGTGTTGCAAGTGGAATAACTGGGCTCTGCTTCACCTTACCTGGGAAAGAGGCAGTGGAGGTGGCTCCCTCCTCCTCCTCGGGGTGGAAGCTGCCAAAGGAAATGCCCTGGCAGCAGTTGTAGG